ACGCCATGGCTGATTTAGGCATCAGCACAGACTTCCGACTGTGCCGAGGGAAAAAATTTGAATGCACAGTTGAAACACACCGAACTCAGGGTATTATTTTTATGGCCCGCTACTATAGTATTCACCTATTACTATTCACACGCTCCTAAACCCTAAACCTCATGGGCCTTCCCGATGGCATGAATTTGGGTCTTGGCGTGAGTTTGAGCTCATCTCCCTGCACCCAATGACTAAAATATCGATAATATCAGCGAAATATAGTCGATATTATCGTTTTTCAGATAGACCGATATTTTTCCACGTATCCCCCTAATTGTCGTCAAAATATCGCGATATTATCGATAATATCGCAATATATTCGATATTATCGAAACAATCGTTGTGGCTCCGTCGTCACAAAGGCAGCCAAGGCCGCATCGTCGCAGCTGCCTAGATCTCTCTCTTCAATCCAGGCTCAAACCCAAGATATGTGCCTCCGTCGTCAGAAATGAAAAATCCATTTTCTCCAGATCCCAAAACCCGTTCGGGTTTGAATCAAACCGTTTGATGGATCCCTTTGCCTGATGGTGGTCACCGAGAGGTGAGAAAGGGAGGAGGAACGGTCCAGGAATTTCAGTTTTTTCAAGAATACAGCTGATCTGCATTCTTGCCTTTTCTGAGTTTGGCGAAGCGGAAAAGATGAAGATGATGACTCTCTCTCTTCCCTTCACACCTCAAGGAAGAGAGAGTGATGCTGGTGATTTTCTGCAGCTCGTCTATGAAGATAAGGGAAGAGAGAGAGAGAGTCGTCTGTGAAGATGGAGTCGCATGTGAAGATGAGGGAGAAAGAGTTGTCTATGAAGATGAGGGAAGAAGGAGAGAGAGATAGAGAAAAAAAACATTTCTATGTGGTGTTTAACTGGAATATCAAATCCAAGATGGTTTTAATTATGAAATTGAAAACCATGAACTCAGTTTTAATTATGACAACTACCAATATATTATATATATATATATATATTATATAAATTATTTAATAATGAAAGAGGTCATGTGAATACATCGAGAAGCCTGCTACCAAAGAGAAATTTCAAACATCTTTTAGTCTGATGGACGGGTGATGTGAAAGAGGTGAGGTGGATGGCTGATGGTTTTTATTTTTAATAATGAAAACCACCCACTATGTGGGGTTTTCATATTTTTTATAAATTATTTTCATAAACAAACATATTATATATGTACATAAAACATTCACATTTGTATGTTATTATATAAGAAATAACGTCAATAATTATTTACATTTGATATAGTAAATTTAATTAATTCATAAAATATATAAAAAATTTACCTAAATCCGTCTAGGCCGCCTAGATCCCGCATAGCCACCTAGGCGCTAGGCGCCAGTCCGCCGCCCGACTAGCGCCTAGCGTTTTTTAGAACCTTGAGCTTTTATGACCTAGGGTTTCACTTGGTTGTATCCTGACGACGTCATTTTGGATATGTGTTGTGGGCTGGTGAGGTCTCCTTGATTGAGTGACAGCCCATTTCTGAAAGTTCAACATATTTTAGGCCCAGAACAGTAACTTTATATATATATATATATATATATATATATATATAGATATGTAATTGAGGAAACTGGATTGCAACGCATTTATCATCACTCATGAAAACAATCAATCAATCTGTTGGTCTTAAGTTTGTGATTACATATTCATCCTGTAATATTTATATGGTCGTTAAGATGTCTGCAAGGCTTGCAAGCTAATATTTATTATCTAGGATAAATTTCTATAAAGTGTAAAATATTGTACTAATTCATTATATATAAATGATTATGGTGTGTTTAAACTTCTTTCATTAATTACTACATATTTTCTACACTCACAATGTTTTCCAGCTCGTTATATAATCAACTTAAATCAGTTAAATCCATCATGCAATGCATTTCCTTCCAATTTTTTGTGATAAACTAATAGATAATTGACTAAATAAACATTCTGCAAAGTTTCAATAAAAATTTCCAAGTTTTTCTTACAATTTATGTGGTTTTTATTCAATTTTTATCGATATCGATAATATCCCGATATTTCCATCGAAATTTCCGTGTTTTTGAACTACCGATATTTCCGATATCATCGATATTTTAGACCTTGCCTGCACCTAAACCAATAATTTTATTTATTTTATGTTTTATTGTTTATTTTTGTTAAATTTCCATTTTTCCCATACCACAACACCAAACTATCATCTTCATGTTCTACAAAATGTACTTTCAGTGAAATTTTTCTTATAATCCATGTCAAAAATTTCAAAAACGAGGATACAAATCTAAATCTAGATGTAAAGGGATTTAAATCTAAATAAAGTAATGTATAGGGAAAAAAATAAATGGAAAAAAGAAAAAAGGAGGAAAAAATAGAAAAGGATACGATCATTACTTCGCTGCCGATCATCCTTGAAGGGTGTCACTAGGAAGATAACGACTGTATCGCGATCATCCTTGAAGGGTGTCACTAGAAAGATAGTGATGATATCCAAACCAAGTCGTTAGCTTCATACCGATCCCTCCCTTTTCAATTTTTTTTTAGTTTTTATTTTATTTATTTCTTTTACGTTTTTTACCATAACAAACTATAATATTCAAGTTCTTCAAAATACATTTTTCCATGGAAAATCTATTATAATTCATATTTAAACACTTGAAATCAATGATTTAAAACCTAGATATTTTTCTATTTTTCAACTTTAAAAATCAATAAAAAAATAGTTTCAGGACCTACAATAGAATCACGTCCAAAGATCTTCAAATATTTTCCTTAACTCCAACGTAAAATATTTCCTAAAGCTAAAAATTTCAATGCTTTCACTTTTCACAAAACATTTGTTATAAGACAAAATTAGAGTCATTCTACTCGCACCACATGTTTCCTAAAATTAATTGAGGACATTCCCAAGATTTTAGACGCCTACAAATCTCTTTGGGTGCCCCACTATTAGTTTTCATTATTTTTTCTATTTTTCCACTTTCAAAATCAATGAAAAATAGTTTTGGGGCCTAATAAAGGATAAAATCACATCCGAAGGTCTTTCACAAAAACTATGAGTTACATAACCCAAATTTTCCAATCGATTTTAAGAACTCTTATAAAATTCATTATAAACCAAAATTTAAGTTATTCTAGTCCCACCATATATTTTCTAACTCTTATATAAATACCTTCCCATGGGGAAGAAGAAAGTATTATATATATATATATATATATATATATATATATATAGTGTGTGTGTGTGTAGAGTAAACCGTAAACCCTAGCAAAAGCTCTGCAACGCTTGTCTGCAGGTGCACTTGAATTCATATAATTCTGACAAATGGGATCAAATAAAACGACGAGCACTACGCTCACAGAAAATGAGATGGGTTGTGTGTGTGTGTGTAAACCGTAAACCCTAGCAAAAGCTCTACCACTCTTGTCTACAGGTGCACTTGAATTCATATAATTCTGACAAATGGGATCAAATAAAACGACCAACACTACGCTCACAGAAAATGAGATAGGCTTCTGCATACTCGAAACGAGACGAGCTCGGTGCAAAGAAAACGAAGCAAAAAACGAGACGACCATCTGGCACGCAAAGCAAGGCATGCTTCTTGCACGCATAACGAGGCAAGCTTAGCGAATGAAAAAAATGGAGCGAAAAATGAGGTAAACCCCGATGCATCAGTCCATCATTGTTGCTTGCACGAAGCATTCATGATGTGGTCGGAGCATATATAAACCGCTATCAATATGGGGTAGGGTTTAGTTTTAATCTCACGAGTAACCATTATTGCCTGTATGAACCAATTGTGTCAGGGGTAAGGCATTTATAGGGGTATGGTCTAGTTTTAATCCCATGTGTCAAGCAAGGTTTGCCGTACGAACAACAGGTTTCGGGGATAAGGCATTTATAATGGGTAGATTTAGTTTTAATCTTACGGGTCGACCGTTGTTGCCCGCACAAAGTTTTGGTATCGGGGATGGGCATTTATAGGCCGTTGTAAATAGGGGTAGGGTTTCATTTTAATCTTAAGGGTTAACCATGGCTGGCTGGACAAAGCATTTTTGCCGAGGATGGGCATTTATAGAATTCACACTAAAATCATAACTTTTAACATAGTAACCAATTCTTAAAAAAAAAATATTTCTCCGCTGCGAGCATGGCTATGAATGGCACACCTGCATGCACAGCAGCGACCTAAGATAGCGAGAATATTTTGGTGTGCTCTCTACATATCCCTAAAGGAACATTGGATGCCATGCCCATTGACTCGATTACAAGTACTTTTGCCAGAAGGGATTGCGGCCGAAGATTCTTTGCAAACGCAGTTTGCGATAGGGCTGCTCTAGCTGCAACTATTGCTGGTGGGCACTTAATTAAGTTTCATTTCTGGAAGGGGCTAAAAAGCCTTTGCGAGTGGAATGACACTAGGGATGGCAACGGTTCGGTTTGGGAACGGAAATGCTATATCCATCTCCATAACCACGAAAATTAATAATATCCATAACGGCAAATTAACCATTGGGGATTATCCATAACCATACCCACCAGGTAACGGATTCCCCATCGGTTAACAGTTATATTCATCTTCTTCAATACCAAAAATATATTTGTTCAATTGAGGCATTATAATATAATAGATACTAATTTTGTCATTATAATATAATAGATCCATTGATGATGTTGGCTTATGTTTGATCTCTCCCATATGCACCATTGGATTTTTATTGGTTTTGATTCAAAACTTCTGAACTTTCTCACAAATGCAACTTTTGTAATTCTTGAAGTAATGGGTTTGGTGAATATGCATATGTATTATACAATACTATATTTATTATATGTAAAATATTAATATATATATATATATATATATATATATAATATGTATTATTCGGATCGGTTTTGGGGACATATGAGAATCAGGGACCCCTATAACCATACCGTAACCATAACAGAATGATATTTTTGGGTTTTCACCATATCTGAAATATAATCAAATTTTCATTCCCAAATCCATTTCATTTGGATGGTTATTCACGGTTATCGAGTTTAACAGTTTGAATTTACATTCCTAAATAACACCACTAACAGCAGGGTATGACTTTGCAAATGCAGTTTTCTAGGCCCATTTAGCCAACAAGGACATGCCTCCAGCACCTGAGAGAACTGCCGCATAAGCCCATAACTGAAGTTTTATGTTGCCTTGCAATTAAGGGCTCAAAAAATCAGATGCTAGCAAATCCACCAATGCCACATATTTGAGCAGGCCAGCTGATGAAGCGTTCAATAGTCCTACCACGATCAGAGCTGTGGGATTGGGATTAGTCTCTCACCGTACACTCTGGAGAGGCCTATCCGTAGAGCAATGCCAAGAAGAGTTGTGCATGAAAAGAACACCACTGTAGCTTTCATCTTCATCTTGTATCCTGCCTGCAACTCATGGTGAAATCGTTAAAGCTAGTAATGTTACAGAGAGCGATAATTAGCGGTTTAAATTGTGCGTAGATTATCTGAAGCTCCCATTGAGAGTCCAATCACTACTGAATTAAACAAAATCCCCAATTCTAGTACCTACTAAAAGGGACAAAAATTAGTTTGATCAGTTATTGTTCATGGATACCATACTTTACAGACTGTTTGATAAGAGAACGTTTACCTAAGTCACAACATGTTAGCATAACAATTGCTGTCCACTTTCAACGATCACCCCATTTGCGCACCGTGACCTTCTTTAGCACGTTCGTGATTAGTACTGGCTGACACATTAAGCTGGGAACTACGTTTCTTACAACAACCCATGGGAAACGAGTCGACCATGAGAGTGAATATGGCTGACAGCATTGCCGCAAACATTGTGAAAATTTCCTCCATGGATTTTCAGGCAAACAACGAGATACAGCCTACAGGGATCCATGCAAACCCTATAATATAGATGTGTAAAATGGGTCATGCTGTTTTACTTTTTCTTTTGGGGGCCAATGTCTGTCCCTCAGCCTAAATTGGTACAGTGGATTTTGAGGTGATTCGGACCGCGCTGCTAAATGACATATTTTGATAAATAATGGGGGTAGTAAGCATATCTATGTTATGAAACTGTTCGTTTTTGGTTTTTCTATTAAGAATTGGGCTTCTATTATTTAGCATCCGTTTATCTCATTCTGCTACTCCATTTTCGTTTGGAGGATAATTTCATAAGCTTTCAATTGAGAATCAACTACAACATTGTCACATTAAGTATCAACTACAGCATTGTCACATTGAGGCCTTCTTCTGGTTCCAATTTGTCAACAACAATCATGAAACCATAAATCATTTATTTTTCAACATGAGTTTGTGTAATCTGCTTGGTTTTGACTTGTTACTTAATTTGGAATGGTAATTTATGTTGCTTCTTCTCGGATAAACGGATGTGCTTGCTATAGGTATGCATAGTCTAGGTCATGCAGGTTGTGGTAGATTTCTACCCATGCGAAACTTCAAGTTGTTATTCTTCACATGGAGTTGGGCCATACGCGGGAAGGAAAAAATCCCTAGCTTGAAAGTGATTCTTGTTGTACAGTATATTCTTTTGCTTTTGGCTCTTTTTTTTTTCCCTCTTTGGTAGCTTCGGACTCTTTACCTAAAATAATTGTCATTCTCTTTCCATGTAGTTATGTGGTGATATATATATATATATATATAATAGCTAAAAGAAATTTTGATATGTTTGTATTTTTGTTTCTTTTAATATTTTTTCAGTTTCCCTAACTTTGTTGTCAAAATATCCAGTTTTGGTTCCAACATCTTCTTTAAAACCCATAAATTCTTTCACATTACAATGTAATTATTCTCTAAATAGTTAGGATAAATGATCAAGATTTCTTTACGGAAAAGTTAAATCCCTTACTTATTTTTTATCCATTAAACCTTCCTTTTGTATATTAAATCTTCCTCTGCTGGGTAGTTGAGTTATGCGATTAGGACTTGAATGTTCAACCCAAAAGCAAGAGTACTGCCAAGACACTATCATTTAAGGGAAGATGATAGTTGGGTATCTGCATTCTGCACTGACTATATATATAGCCTAGCACATGGAACTTTTCTTCTGCAGCAAAATATGATAACTGGTGACCCATCTTTAAATACCCCACAAAGTGCTTTGCAAAAGAATAATTTAACCTTTTACTACACAATGGCAAAAGGATCGTTTGCTTGTTATCTTTACTTTTACTTTCCAATAGCTCACTTCGTCAATGGGTTTTGATAGATGTGAAGCAAATGATCATGAGCATATTATCTTGGCTTTAACTCGCACTACGGTACACTTCACTCCACTACCTTATGCTCCCAAAGCCACTGTGACCCTAAGTTGAGCGCGTGGCAGAGTCAGTAAGCATCAATACTTCCCCACCTCCCTTTCTCCCAAAAAGTTGTCCTGCATGAATAATTTGTTGGCCCATTTTATAAAGTATATAATTGTGTTGGAGAAGAAAGGAAGCATCGACTAAATCTGAAGATGATGGACCACATGTAACAGGAGCAGGACATAAAAGTTAGGGTTCACATCTTGGGGCCAATCGAACCTTACTGGATCCACATGTTATATATGCATTAGTTTTGTCCACCGCCACCCCTTTAAACACCACCAAACGTGCATTAATTTGAATGGATACCACCAGCAAATTAATCAGTTGGTTAAGTTAACACATTTCCATCTTAACTTTTAATACATCTATGATGATCATGACTCATAAAGTAAGTTAATCAGAATAATGTGTGATCAGCTCCTACACTCATCTTTATATCTCCATTCTCCTAAATTATGAATATTTAAAAACAAAGATAATATTTAGAGCAGTTCCAGCCCATTCCTAAAATAATACATTAGGAAAATAAATTAGGGTCTTGTGATTTTTGTCTTTCTCGATGGAGCTCAAACTCTTGAGAGTTATTTCTGGTTATTGACAAGAAAGAGACCTTAATTACAGGAACAAATAGAGTGGTGTGTACTGTGTCAGATACACAGTTGGCATGTCTATGTCTATGTCTATGTCCATGGCCGTGTCGCCCAAGAATATGTTGAGCTTATTATAGTTGGAACCGGATCCTCTCCGGATCCATATATCATGAGCATGCTCAACAGGGGATCCGTGTTGTTGAAATTTGATTAAACGACTATAATTATTATAACTTTAAGAGAATCCATTTTTTTGTAACCGTTGGATCAATTCAACGGTCCGGATCGCCTGCTCAGTAGGCTCATGATATATGAATCAGGAGGGGATCTGGTTCCATTAGGTACCATTTGGTATGTGGGACGGGACGGAACGGAGTGGGACGAGGTGTTCCGTCCCACGTTTGGTACGCCTAAAACGGTGGAACGCGCTGTTCCACGGGACGAATTTTGAGTGAATTTTCGTTCCACCTCATCCCCCCTCGGAACAACTCGTTGCACATCCGTGGAACACAAAATTATAACCTCTCAATCTCCTTCTTCTTCCTCCTTGTTTCCATCCAAGGGCATCTTTACTCCCTCTCCGTTCTGTCCTATCTTGTCTCGTCCCGTCTGCAACCAAACGATACCTTATAGTTGTCATGATGGAGTTCTCATAGTATCCCCCAACCCTGTTCGAAAGTAAACAAAAGAACACCATAATTAGTGGGTTCTCCATGTTTTCAATTCAATTATTCAATCCTTTCTGCATAGTTTTATATAATATTCACCTCGATCGGTTCTTCTAAATATGAAGTATTCTATGTGGCCTCCCTCTCCCAATAATTTATCCCTAAAGTTCTGGATTTCTCATGTAATTAGCTCGCTTATTTTATGACGAAAGTGCTATTTGACTAATAATCCATAAGTTTTATCATTAATCACACACACACACACACACATATATATATATAACTATTCATGGATGTGAAGTTAATAGTTTATATTTGGATAGTCTTCAATGACATTAGCAAAATAATCAATAGAGAAGAAAAATACAACAGACAATACCTAAAAAAAATCAAACTTAAACACCAAGCAAAGAAAATGAGCAAAGCAAGCATGCTTACCATTAGTAATGGAGTTCAAATTCAAGTTGGGTTTTAATATTATGTTGACTGATATCATAGGAATAGGAATATTGTATGGCTTGCAAACTGTACGTGGGACTGAAATTGTGAAATGACTAACACCAGTACATACATGTGTGAAAAAGCAAAGACATCCACATCTACTAACGTCATAACACATGGCGAGAGTGAGCCCACAAGAAGATGCACAACTACTAACGTGGGGACTGAGAGACTCAAAGGACAATATCTTTTAACGAAGGATGAGACGAGACACCCAGAAACCAAAACCAATCCCACTTCGCAAAATCTTCCAAAGATAGCACATCATTGTAATATTTCAGTTTGTGAACCTATGGGTGTGATCAGAGCTTCTCAGTGCCACTTGCGTTGTTGGAGCTAAAGATGTATCAACTATTCCAACCAACGTATCCATCAAGTGTCACTCAGAAATTTAATAATATCGATATATAGTTGAATTATTGGTGCACTGCGTAGAATTTATCAAGGATTTGGATCTGATCCAGATTCAAATTATGGGAATTTTAAGAATCCTCATATCTTAGTTATTCAACGTGAATCATGCGGTTATAAATCATTTGACTTTTTTTTATTTAAAATTAGACACAAAAAGTACTTGACGAAAAATGACCGCATGATGTACGATAAAAGGCTATGATGTGGGGATCCTAGCCATTAATCGTGCATTGTGCGCTTATAAATCATTTGACTTTTTTTTATTTAAAATTAAACACAAAAAGTACTTGACGAAAACTGACCGCATGATGTACGATGAACGGCTAGGATGTGGGGATCCCTAGGATCCCCACAAAGTGGATCTAGAGAGGATCATCTTCCTTTATCAAGTGCTTAAATTGTATTCTGGATTTTTTAATCCTAATACTTGCTGTTTGACTTTAAGTAAGGTAATGTTAGGTGAATCAAAAATTTTAAATTAAATTTGTAAACTAAATGATGTATTTTAAATGATTGAATTATTAATGTGCTTATCTGTTATTGGTGACCTATTATTTAATTTGATTTAAAAACTTAATCACATTAAAATATGTTATGTTAGGGCTAAAGAGAAAAGAACTGGAGGAGGAGGAGATAGAGGCCGCATAAAAAGACTTAGATTGTCTGCCCTCCACATCCTATACCCTACCCATGCCCTCCTATTTATGTGGTCACGGTTAAGCCACGTCAATATTAAAGTCATGAGGGCAAGGGAAGGGGACGGCAAGAAAAACTGAAGAGGGCAAAAGAAGAGGACAGCAAGAAAAACTGAAGGGAAGGGGCTACGGTTTCATATTGAAAAAAACCTACCTATTGATACAATATAACACGGTTTCAGATTGAAAAAAACCTACATTATTGATACAATGTAGAATTATTATAATTGTCTATAAGTGTATTGATACATTTGTATAAAAAATTATTAACTTGACTTGGAAGAAACCTAATCCCATATGAATTACAAACAAAAGCCTAATGAAAAATTGAATTCTCCTACATTAGCACAAAAACCTAACGGTAAAAAAATGTAATATATAATATACTCTGAGTTATACTAAAAAGACAAATGAAAATTAAAAAAATAAAAAGAAAAAGGAAAAGGACCAGGACTCAGTCGGTGGCAAGCGATAACTCATAAAATTTCACTACGTTTCTTTGGGTTAGCAATAAGACCACGACACAGTAGTACTGCCAACCCTAATTTTGTCGGCATTGTACCCTCCAGCTTTGCAGGACCCCTCTGCTTGATCTGATCCTCCAAACCCTAATTCAATCAGAATATGTATACCAATAGTGCCCAACTCCTCCTACACGGTTATTCACCAAGCATGACCACCTATCACATATAAAA